TTCGGCAGGATTTTCTTCCAGTTTTGGTGGAGCTTCTACAAAAGACAAAGACAAAATGAAACAATTTTAGACTTTCATTCCAACAGGCTCTAGGGTATGTTACTTTAAAAAGCATAACTTTAGGGAGAACACCACACAGAACAGCACATGCTGCCAGCTTACAGAAGCCTGTAAGTCTTCACATAACATGCCCTCACAAACCTCTTGTGGCAGTGTAACTATTAGCACCCGAGGCTTAAAATTTAATATTCAAAATACAGTTAGTTAAAAACAATTCTTCTTCATCACAATCAGACTAAAGGCTGGGCCTGATAAATCTAAATGAATTAAATTTCAAAAGGATTCTTATCAGACAACAAGATGTTATATCTTGCTAGAAAAAGATCAAAGTTCTGAAGGGGAAAAACAAGACAAAGGAAGAGACAGTCTGTACAGAACACACAAAATGGCTGCTGAAGTCTGTATGTAAAATAAGTTCTTTGAAACTACAGATTCAACAGAGAGAAGTAATTCACTGCACAAACCCGTTTCAGTCACTCAGTAATTTTATGGTCCTGTTTACCAATTCAGCCTATTTGAATCTGTAGTCCATATTTAGGTATATGCTACTGGGATTGTCATTTTGCAATATTTGTGTCATTACAAATTGCTTTTGTTCCACAAGGCCACATCTCTGGTTGCTATAACAAACAGAGATGAGAGGAAATTTTATACCTAGAACTTATTTTAAGAAGAGTTCCAAGTGCACTGAAATCCTAGCATCCGTTCTCCATATTTAGTTGCTCAAGAAGTCTGTGTGAGGTGACTTGTAAGGCTCTCTGTAACAGCGCTATCTCACCCCTCCAACCAGCCCTTCAGCCTTTACTCAGGTGACCACACAATCTAAACCAGAGAACCCCCTCTTTCTGTAAACACTTTATGATATACACTACACTAATAAAGAAAGATCAAATGCCTTACTGACCCCAATTTGTCATCATAAACTTGTGATTCACAAAGGAAAAAAGCCTTCATTTTCTGGAAGTCCTGGTTATTTACCAACGGTCTCCATAGCCATTAACGACTAACCAATTAAATAAAACCTCTCATTTCTGAAGAACTGTACTCACAAAACGTAACTGTTTGGTCACACAGAGACTTAGGAAAATAAAAACGAATCTTTGGAAAGTCTTCAAATGTGTCCACACACAGACACCTACAGACCTGACAGCTGGCTTAAGCTAGCTGCGTGGAAACACCCAAAGAGAACAGTTTATGTACTAGTAGTATATACCACCAGAATCCTGACTCCCAAAGAATGCCAGGAAGCACATTCTTTGATCTGTTACCACAAAGAACCCAAAATTAAAAATCATAAATTGAGAAGATTGTTTGACTAGTTCAAGATGTCTTCCTTTTTCCCCTGACAATACTGACAGGAAAGTAATGACACTTGCTTTCCCTGCCTTACATTCCAACCTCTGTAAATATATAATGTTTCTTTACTTATCAAAGTACTGCCTCCCAGCCTGAATCCTGAAATTGGCTCCAATTCTTCAAAGATGAAAAACATGCTAAAACCTCAGTCAGACAAGGAAACTACTCTGACAGGCCCTGCTACCACACAGACAAGCGTGACAGAGGGGAGCTTGTGAGTTTGCATACAGCTCCACAATTAAGAAAGCTTGGTAAATGCAGATCATTTTAGAAGGTCCCAACTTGAGAAAGGCAGAATAGTTTTAAACATCAGTCCAAAAATCAGTGCAATGGGGAAAGTCACAAGTATCTCTTATCTGTTGTTTGACAACTATGCCATCTCCACAAGAACAACTTGAATTTACACAAGAAATCCCACAAACTGTCTTCACCTCATAAGAGGTATTTAGATCAGGTACATTCCTGATCCTGGACAGTAGAAATTAACGTTGCTCAGCACTTTTCAAGAACATGTACATTCATGCTAATTGAGAAAACTATCCAAATATATGCTCAACCTCCTGTGTCTTACATTAATCTGGACTTCTCCAAATCAAACACATGACTCATGGTAAGAACAGTGCATGCATATGCATTTGTAACTATGGGCAGCTCCAGGAATAATTTTCCATGGATGAAGAGCCATCCCAGAAACCACCGCCTTCACAGAATCACACTCACACAGGCATCTATTGAATTTTATCTAATGCATTTGTGGGCAAGAGTATTTCCTAAAATGATCTATGAATCTCTTGCTGTCTTCTGACTGAAAAAGCATTTAGTAATCCAGGTTGCATCTGCAAGACTAAGATTTTCCAGCAACGAATATTGATGACTTTAGTTTACAAGCTCTAATAAACACTTGCCAAACACAGCCATTTTTTGTATGCTAAGCAAACGTGTTATTTCAATACGTTGTTCTACAGGAAAAAAAGCATTAGCAAGAACTTTCAATTACAATTCCAATCAATGGAATTAAGCACACATCTCTGATGACAAAGTCTTTCTTCCCTTTATTTGGGTGAAAACCCATGGGAGAAGCGACTTTGTTCAGGCAGTCTCTCACAAGAAATAAAAACAATTATTATAAGACCATCAGCTGCCTTCCGACTAATCAACAACCATATTTGATGCCTTAGTCTCTGAAAACAGATCTTGGCTGGAAGCCTCACAGACAGTTCTTCTTACCACTTGCTTCTACAATTGCAAAATGATCATGGGAAGCTAAGGCTCAAAGGTGAGCCAAGTAAGTAGTACTGCCTGAAGCAATACTAAGGTAGGCACATTTATCTGCTCAGTTATTACTAAAAAGGAAAGATCAGTTCCATTTTTCCTGTGGGAAGAAAGCTTACTACCTGCAGCACATTGCTGCAAATGTTAATACAGGGTCTTCCCTACATTAACTTTTCATATAAAATATAAAACCTATTGCTTCATCTGATCTCACTGACTGCAGCCTCCAAGCTGGAAATTCACCCTCCTCTTTCTATCGCTCGTTATATAGAATAAGTCAGAGACACCAAATCAGAAGACACCACTGAAATCCAGATTGTACATGACATGAAACCAATTCCCTCCTGGTAATAAATTGTATTTTTTAGTAATTGAAGCTTGAAGCATTAACACTGCCCTTATAATGACACCCCCCCACACACACACACACAAAAGTTTCAATAGCCTTTTGTAGTGCAGTGGGTAAAACCAGCAAGGTTTGGGTGAGAAAACTTGTGGGTTGAGATAAAGATGGTTTAATAGGTAAAGCAAAAGCCGCGTACACAAGCTAAGCAAAGCAAGGCATTCAATCACCACTTCCTATGAGCAGGCAGGTGTTCAGCCATCCCCTGGAAAGCAGGGCTCCATCACGCATAATGGTTACTTGGGAAGACAGACGCCATCACTCCGAATGTCCCCCCCTTCCTTCTTCTTCCCCCAGCTTATATACTGAGCAGGATGTCATATGGTATGGAATAGCTCTTTGGTCAGTTTGGGTCAGCTGTCCTGGCTGTGCTCCCTTCCCAGCTTGTTATGCAGCTGGCCAAGCAGGAGAAGCCCAAAAAGTCCTTGGCCAGTCTAAGCACCACCCAGCAACAACTAAAACATCAGTGTGTTATCAACATTCTTCTAGTACTAAATCCAAAACACAGCACTATGCCAGCTACTATGAAGAAAATTAACTCTATCCCAGCCAAAACCAGGACACAGAGGGACTGCAGGAGTGGCCTCTGTGGGAGAGGGTCAGGTGCTGCCCTGTGCCAGACATAGCAACTTCCCCAACAGACTCGCTGCTGGCCAAGGCTGAGCCCACCAGTGAAATTAGTAGCACTTCTGTGAAAAAATATTTAAGAAAGGGCAGACAATGACAAGGAAGATGGAACAAGGGTTGAAGGGAGCAGCAAACAGAATAACCAAGGAAACAAGGAAATGAGAGAAGACCAAGGTCAGGAGAGTAGGAGGTGCCCCATGTTGTCTTAATTTCCTAATACCCAAGTTAGTACTTAAATGTTTGTGTTAATTGTAATAAATTAAATACTTGCTTTCTTCAGAGGGCGTACAACCAAGCAGCAAACAAACAGACACCAAAACATCTATCCCTCATTATTAGTAAGGAACTGCAGACAAGCAATGTGTTAGAAGCAACAAGAGACAGGCCCTATCCTGTCAGAAGTTGTGCATTTCCTTTTACTCATCTCAACTGCTGTAGTGTAGCAGTGTAGCCCTTTCCTTCTTCTCCCTTCCTTCATTTGTTACCTATTTATAACCTACACTTAGTTTTTTCTCCTTACACATTTGTCTCTGCCAGTTTTCGTAAGGCAACTCATACAACTGGTACTCAAAGAACAACATGATAAAAAACCTGATCAGACCATAAGGAATTCAGGAAAGGATTTTCATGATTACCACCAAGCATATTTATAGCATCATTTGATAACAGCTAATAATGCACAGGAATAGTTCTGCCCACCATGAAAACGCAATTATTTCCAGGGTAGTACAGGACAACCACTTAATTCACCACAGCATTCTTAAGTTGTGAAAGGAAGGAAATGAAGACTTTTGTATCCAAATGTAACTGTAGTAGTCTTCAAGCATCTTGGCAAAATGCAATTATTTAATTACCATTTGCATAATGTAGTTATTTAATTATATGGGGATATTTTCTACCCAACAAATGCATATCTCTGTTCCAGAACCACGAATGGCACCTCTAACATCACCAATGCATTGGCTATGCAAAGGTTTAGCAGTGACCTTTCTTCAAAGACTGTCTTCAGTTTTGTCACCAGTATAATTTTATATTGCATCAACCTATTCCCTGCATATCTGCGTGCAAGTGCTGATCCTGCCCATTCATAATTCCTTAACAAGACTTAAGAAAGACCATGAGAACATCAGTGGCTGCTTCAAGTTTCCAATAGCCTTAACTAATAAGTTCACGAACTCATGTAACAACATTAACAGCTGGCATTTAGCAGATTTAATGGGTAAGGAATATTACCATATCTAATCCAGTTTCAGTGGTACCTAAGGCACATTGATACTAAAGCATCTATAACAAATAATTTTAAAGCAATTTAGCATC